CTCTGGCAAACCTATTAATACGAAAAGATTCTTAATATAATTTATATATTTTATTTAACTCGAGTTAACCCGAAGGTTTTATCCACGAACTCGAAATCGAACCGATTCAGTATAGGTTCAGAAAAATGAACTCAACTCCACCCAAAAGCTAATCTAACCCAATCTAATTGGGCCGGTATCTTGTTTATGAAGCCCATACTATAAATACCGAAACCCTAGTTCTTAGTGAAGGCTAGCTATAAACCATCGCTAAATTCATTCCGCGTGTCTCGTCTCTTTACTTCTGCAGCGGCATCTTCTTCAGCACATCCAACTCCGGCGGTGCAACTTCGATACGATGGTAAAATTCTGGTCTACTTTTTTTATTTTTGGTATCTGGATTTACTGTTTGGTGTTTTATTCTTTTTGTTTTGATTAATCTAGGCGCCAAAGAAGGATAAGGCTCCTCCACCGTCTTCCAAGCCTGCTAAATCTGGCGGAGGGAAGCAGAAGAAGAAGGTCACATTCTTCAAACTATATCTTTTACTTTATTTAAATTCATAGCTGTATCATATAGTAGGTGAACTGTATTTTGAATCATGCCGGTGTTATTGTTAGGAATGAGGTTATTTCAACTCTTTATTGAAGTATTTGGTTCTCCGACTATTTCTCTGTTTCAAGTGGTGTAGATCTTGTTTTTTTATGTTTGGATATTGCTGAGGTTATTTTTGGGAATGAGAATGTTTCTCTTCCTTGTCTCAAATTGTCAGATTTCGAAGTTTAATTGCATGTCTAATCCCTTCTCAAGGTGGCCTCGAGGCCTAAATCTCAAACGCTGCATCTATGATACTATGATGTCTTATGTGGAAAAGGCTTCTATCACTTTTACCAAATTTTTGTTTTGTATTAAACTTTATGTGGACAATCATGATACTTCGAAGCAACTAAAGATGAGGAAAATTAGTACTCTGGAGCTCATGAACTTGTAATTTTGGTTTTCGGTTCGTTTTTGGAAACCAAAATCGCGATTGTGATTTCAGGGTAGAATATCTCGTGCAATTTAGATGTGAACTGTAAAATTTTGATTCTAAATGCTAAGATTGTGCAGTTTCTCATTTTTAATCCTGTTTGTTCATACAACAGAAGTGGAGCAAGGGAAAGCAAAAGGAGAAGGTCAACAACATGGTTTTGTTCGATCAAGGAACTTATGACAAGCTTCTCGTTGAAGTTCCCAAGTACAAGCTTGTCACTCCTTCAATCTTGTCCGATAGGTTGAGGGTACGTTTTTAAACCTCGTCTCTTCCATAATATAGAATTTTTTTTAATGATTTTTCTTGCTTGCATACTCCTTCACTATGATTTAATTCTAGTTATTTGTCACTTATGACCTTGATACGATCAATATCTATCCTTTTTCATTCAAACCTATGTTTAAAACATTCAATCCATTCATTCTAAGATGCACACTTTAAAAACGTTGTGCTAGCACTTGTTCGACACAGATCAAACACTTGTTAGCCCAATGGATATGTGTTACAACACTGGTTTGACCAAATCATTATGCGTCCGACATTTATTAGATAATTGAACATTTGTTAAGTATATTACATAGACACATGATAATATATAACCAATAATAAATTTGTAACATATAAATGAACAAACCTATCAACTTCAAATTTTCTTCTGACATGAATCTGATATATTTTTAGAAAGTGTGTATTTTATTGAACATTTCATAGCCATGTTCTATATTTTCCGAAAATGGTGACATTGTGTACATGTCGCATTTGTGTCTCGGTCTCATATCCGTATCTCTTAGCATTCAATTAACTAGTGAACTCTGTTTATTCTGAACTCCCTATATCATATCTATAAACATAGGAAACCCCATGATTTCTTTGTACGAGTTCGCACTCTTCGCACTCTTGAAATAAAAAAGAACTTCAGAGTTCTTCTGTATTCGTATCGTGTTGTTTTTGAACCTGTTGGCTGCCACCTAACACGAGTTCAACTTTCAGATCAATGGATCTCTTGCACGAAGAGCAATCAAGGATTTGATGGCCAGAGGTCTCATCAGAATGGTCTCTGCACATGGCAGTCAGGAGATTTACACAAGGGCCACCAATACCTAAAATTCCTTCAATCTTAAGAGTTGCCTGCCATGAATTAGCGTCGTTACTCTAGTTTTTGGTTTTTTGGTTGAATGTCAACTTTAGATGGATGCTATAATTTTGCAATTTTTGTCTGATGATATCTTCCCTGTTAATCACTACTTTTAATATTTATCAAGTTTCCAACCATTCGGGATGTTTATTGATTCCTTCATAGTTATTTTGAATCTGCATTTGGGTTGTCAGTAGATTAGGTTTTTGCTCTAAACTAATCATTAGACTTTGAAATATTTGAAACACAATTAAAAAGAATCATCTGTTTGGTTGTTCTTAGATTACGTTTATAAGGGCTGTTTGTTGATCCCTTGTTTTGACTTCTTCTAATGTAATGAATATTTCAGATTGTAAACAAAATGACAAGGATGGCTTGATTGTTGCCCTCTGCCGACCGCCGACCGCCGACCTTTGTTGCTGCGTGCTGACTACAATTATTCGTTGACTGCTGTTGTTAGTTAAATAAATAAAAAATATTTTTAAATTTTTTGAAGATTCAATAATATTCTTAAATTAAAAAAAAAACTAAAAAATACATTTTAACTTACAAAATAAAAATAAATAAATTCAAGGAAAATATTCCTGAACTAATAATTTGGTTTAAAAATTACTATTTCCACTAAAAATTACTATTTTCTCATTTAATAATTTAAGTGTTAAAAATTTTCTCCATTTTTTTTTGACCGTATGAATAATGATTTTTTCATGTTGTTAAAGGGTTGAACAATGAAAATAGATGGCGAGTGCCTAATTGAATTGATCGGGTCATATAGAAACAAGGTTCAAGTCTACCAGTCTATTAGAATGTCTCATCTGCATACATCACTGCACTTCCACTTGACATCTATCGTGATAACGTCTCATCTCGTCGTGACTTTCTCTTGAATCCTCAAAACTTCTATCGCTCCATTCCCATAGGGGCAGAGAACCCATCGCTATCTCGGCTGTACTACCGGAGGCGCCAGGGAAGTGAGCATGCTCTTGAATTCTCAAAACTTCTGTCACTCCATCCCCGTAGGGGCAAAGAACCCAACGTTGTCTCGGCTGTGCTACTGGAGGCCCTAGGAAAGTCGGAATAGGAGAGCATGGATTAATACTAATTTTTCAGTATGATATTGGAGCTTGACCGAGTTAGTGAATTATACGCCCTAATCTAAACATTGATTATGAAAATGTATGATACGTAGCATGGTACGCGGATTACTATGTAGATCTTTTAAAGTTCTCATCTATATGTTGAGTATGTATGAACCGCTGTAGTATGACCCGTGCGTTTCTAAATAGGCTTTAGATATGAGTGTGCTTAACTCTCTACGGGAACAATTGTTTGTTGATGATATTTAGTATTCCATTACGGTTTAACATATGTATCATATCTGACCCTTGATTATAAGACTAATATCTTGTATCCGTTTATTGCTCTTTCCATTTCCCTTGTAATATATTTGATCTTATCTTATTCGGTAAATGATTATCGCAGATATTCTCATTGTTGTCCCTTGCACACTATGTTACGATCATGTATGTTCCTTTTCATGTCATCAAATTACTATTCTCAAGTGACCTCCGATAGCACGGAGTTATTTACCCCCAACACATATATATGTCTTAGTACAAGCACGAGGTTGCTCTCCTCGTGTTTATGATGCTGTCAGGTTACCCTAATGAGGTTGCTAGAACGCCACTAACTAAACTCTAGTTGATACAGACGTGGGGTTGCTTCCCTCGTGATTATGATGTTACCAGGTTACTACGATAGGGCTGTTAGATGGCCGCTAACTAACCTAAACGAGCTATTTATACCCAGCTCACATATGCATTTTAGTTGTTACAAGCACGTGGTAGTTTTTCTCATGTTATAATATTGTCAGGTTACTCGGATGGACTCTAGAGGGTCGCCAACTAACCTTTAGTAACGAGAAGTCGTTTATGGTTAACTCACATATGTAAGTAACGATAGCCCATAACCTTATTTTACGAGGGCTACTATTTGCCAAGTATTTTATACTCTCTCATACTAATATTTTGACGGGATTCTATTTATTTTAAGTTATTGATATGAAACCCAACGCTAGCAAATATTGTCTCTTTTGATCCTTTACGTCGTCAGTTTCAAGTTTTAAAACGCGTCCGTTAGGAAGAGATTTTTACACCCTTATAAGAAATGTTACGTTCCCTTCTCCAACCGATATGAGATCTTACAATCCACTCCCCCGGGGGTCATCGTCCGTTGTCGGGGTTTGATACCATTTGGAACAACCCAAGCCCATTGTAACAAAATAAAATAAAAAATATATTCCCTAAATGCTTTTCTGGATATTCCTCAATGTCCCAGCTATTCACGGGACGTGAGAAGTAGATGAATAATCATCCGCTTTCGGAAGAAATCGAAGAATTTCTCGAGAATCCTACAAGACCCATTTGTTCTTTTTTCTCTGACAGATAGTCAAAACTTCATACGGGTTCGAATCCTATTGAGAGGTTCACTAGAGATCAGAAATTATTGAATAAAGAACAAGATGTTTTTTTTTTGTCCCTTCAAGGCGATCGGAAAATAAAGAAATAGTTAATATTTTCAAGATAATTACGTATTTACAAATTACCGTCTCAATTCATCCTATTTCATCAGATCCGGGATGGGGAGGTGTTGGATGATGAAGGTCCCACATCGGCTAATTTAGGGAATGATCATCGGTTTATAATTAAAAGAATACTCTCTCCATTGGTACGAGGCCTTTACGAGCTGTGGAGAGCTCGTGTTCTTACATTTAAATTAGAATATTGTTTAAAATTTTAAATGGTAAAATATTTTAAAAATAAAATATTTAGATAAAATAAATGGAAAGGTTTAGGACGGAGAGACGGCGACGTATATTGCCCAAAGGCCGCTGCCCGCAACATCCATTTCTCTCCAACAATATTTTCCAATTCATCTCTTCACTTTTCAAATCTTGAATCCACAATCCTCCTGTTTTTCCATTTCCCGCTGTTCTTCTTGTAATTACCTTCGATTTGAACCAAAAATATTATGGAAATTCCAACAGATCGAGGTTCAGAACCCCTGCTTCCGATCCCTGTTTCGACGACTTCGAACTCAACCCTAGACCATGGGAATTCTACTCCCACTGCCTACAGTTGGCTATTCGAGTGCCATGGATTTTGGTACAAATTGTTTCTGATTGTCCCCAGTTTGCTATTCGTTCTGTACTTGGCATTTCGGGCGAGAAAGAGCTTGTCCAAGCTCTCCAATGGTCGCTCTTATATCATAGTTGCATATTACGGGACTCTCTGGATCGTTACTTTGCTCAACTTCGCTTGGTGCATGTTTCAGGTTCTTTCATTTTATTAACTTTTTCTTCGGGGAATAAGATCTCCAAGAACCCCTGTAGCATTTAACAATGAAATCTTAGCTTCTGTAATGGCGACGGGGGAGTCTTTTCTTTATTAGATGTATGCATAGAATTTGGAATTCGGTTCTGCAATTGTGTGTGCTCCATTTTTGAGCTTTAGATAACATTATGCTGCTTCCGTGTACTGATAAGTTTAGGTTCTATGGAAGTATGTGGTAAATGCAGTAGGAAACTTTAGGGATATAATGCTTTTCCTTGAATCTTGCCCCCTTTAAGTAATTGCTTCAAATTTGGACGGTTTGGTTTTTAATCCTCCTAGAGTGGGCGTGTGAATTGCATTTTGTGAATTTGTGAGGCTTTCGTAAGAAATGGGTTGTTGAGGATTGTTGGGAGGGAGTTCTACGTTTGCTAATTTAAGGAATGATCATGAGTTTATAAATAAGGAATATATCTCTATTGGTACGAGGCCTTTTGGGGACGCCCAAAGCAAAGCCATGAGAGCTTTTGCTCAAAGGAGACAATATTATACCATTGTGGAGAGTTGTGATTCTTAACATGGGTATGTTATTTGAAACTTCTTGTATCGTTCTAAAAACTTCAATTTCTTAAATGGAAAGTTCCGTATTTGTTTTATAAAATCTTGATAGACCCCGAATTATAAATATGTATCAATAGAAAGTTAGCGAGAGGAGCTGAAGAGGCTAAGAAATGAGCGAGCGAATATGTGATTAGTGGTGGAACTCATGGAAATATTTGTTGGTCAGCAGGGTTGCTTTAGTAGATTCTGTAGTACATATATATATGCAAAGACTGTAGAGGGAAGCGTCGTCTTGACTATCGATTAGTGGGTTCTAGAGAGGCGGGAAAGATAGCGAGAGGAGCTGAAGTGGCTAAGAAATGAGCGAGCGAATATGTGATTAGTGGTGGAACCCATGGAAATATTTGTTGGTCAGCAGGGTTGCGTTAGTAGATTCTCTAGTAGATATATATGCAAAGAGTGTAGAGGGAGGCGTCTTTTTGACTATCGATTTGTGGGTTCTAGAGAGGCGGGAGCTCGCAAAATCTCCCTTAGCTTGTAAGTTCGTAACTCTCATATTATCAATGCAGAATTAATTCCATTCTTCTGGTTCCATCAAATCTTTCCCACTTTTAATTTTGGTAATGCTATCGTGTCTCTTTTGTATGTCAAACTAAAGCTAAATTTGAATTTTCTCAAAACTATTCAAGGATTAGTATATGATAGAAAGCAAAAAAATATCTATAATATATACAGATAGCTACATAATGTGTGGTTTTGAAACGGTTACAACGTTTATTTTACATTTATTTATCCAATATCCTCTACCATTTCTATATTCATATCATTTCAGTACCTAAATTCTGGCTGCTTGACTCCTCTTCCCGTGACCTCCGTGTTTTTTGTCAATATTTTAGTGTGAATCTGTGACCCCACCCATATCTATATGTCTCTCATTTTCCTTCATAAATGCTGGTTGCTTGATTCCTGTGTTCTTGTCCTCTGTCATGTTGTTATATACATTTTCATGTGAATCTTACTATGATGTAAGCTGTGACTGGAGCATAGTGTTTGTAATTACTGTATCCAGATGCTCATAAGCCAAGTTCCAATATCATCCATTGGATTACAATTACCAATTAATTCAATTCTGTAGTTTGATTTGTCTGATAATCATTATCAACTTGGATTAAACAGGCATGGGAATGCACCTCTGGGAAAGAATTAGCATGGAATATCTTGTCCTTATCCACGACATCGGGAATGCTATTCTTGGAAGTCAGTTTGTTGGCCTTTTTATATCAAGGAAATCATGTGGGCAGCGTAGAAGCCCTCGCACGAACTTTCATCGTGTCAGGAATTTTTGTTGGCCTGGACTTGATTCTGAAGGTATATCCGAGAAAATACTCCTTAAATGACTCCTTTTCAGGTGCCTCTAGGTCTGCCGCTGGAGAACATTCTGATAGAAAAGCAAAAGTTTGATGTTTTAAAAAGGAGAAAACCAGCTGAAAATTAGACGTGTTTTTAATTTAAGATGCATACGCTTCGTACGTATATTCATTTACATAATTTTTAGAGATGGATTAATTGTAGGTACATTTATGTTCGGGCGCATCGGATGGAAGTTAACATAGGGTCTAGATCTTTCATTTCGAGTTCTGTATATACATGGGATTTCTTTGCTGTGTTTAAAGTGTTTGGATGTTCGATTATGTTTTTCAAGTACACAATTTTTTTGGAGGGCTGTACAACGTGTGGAACGATTCTTCTTACGTTACTGATTCGTTCTTGCCTTGCCTTCGTTTGTTCATTCCATTTTTAGGCAATTTATTTGTTTGGTTTCGGAGTTCCATTATTCATTTTAAGTGACGACAGTAAGCATCGAACAAAGTGGAACTTGTGGGTCGTCCACCGTCTGTTGATTACTGCAGCATATGGTTTTATATTGTTCATGTACCATTCAAGCCATAGAGAGAAATTACCAGGTATAATATCTTTTATCTGTATGCATCAATGAACTGTATTATCTTGCAGTGAGTATTCACTCTGTTACCAATTCTTCTGCAGCAAGACCTGCTTTCTACAGATATGTCGTTATCATGTCGTCTTTGAACGTATTGGCACTCTTTGCTTGCGGGATCGCTGGAAATGGAGCTGGTTTTGGCTATTGGTAAGGGCAGCATGATTAAAACCTCCATTGTGCTTAGTTTGATTTTAATTTGGTCTTTACGATTTTGGTTTAATCTCCCAAAGTTGTTGGAAGGGTCGGAATTGGCTCCAAAATTTGAGAGAACTCGCATTTTTTCAGCAAGTGTTCAAGTTTTTACTCGAGTTAAACTATTACATTTGGGATAATACACACACCACACGTTGCATGGTAGCTCATTGTCACTCATGGCCACTTTCTCCCATTCAAAGAAAAGTAAACACTACTTGATTATTTAGTTTGAGCATAACTCAACTAGTTAAGACATGTATCCTCGATCAATAGGTCAGAAGTTTGAACTCGAATGTTAATACACACACCACACGTTGCATGGTAGCTCATTTCACTCATGGCCGCTTTCTCCCGTTCAAAGAAACGAAAACACTACTTGATTATTTAGTTTGAGCATAACTCAACTAGTTAAGACATGTTTCCTCGATCAATAGGTCAGAAGTTTGAACTCGAATGTTAATTTAACCTCTTTGTAATATCTACTAGATACGAGCTGGTCATTTTGATGGTATATCATGTTTGTTTTTGTCCCAGGTTGTATGGTGCCACTGTCGTCTGTTATCATGCCTTCTATCTTCCCTTTCTATATGAACATTTTCTTGCCGATTTCTTCCAGGTTGTTTCACAATATCATTACACCTTCGTAGTTATTTCCGCTATTTTTCGATCTAAAGGACGTTTGTAATCTCGAGATTTGTATCGCTTTTTCAGGAGGACGATTTGCATTTGGAGAACGTATACTATTCGGAGATGAAGGATGCTGGTTTCTTTGACACCGACTGGGAGTGAGGATGGCGATTCCGTACGTAACGAAAGAGCTTCGTTGCTTATGTATGTAAATTTACTCGAAAACATATATATAACGGTGTTGCAAGATGCAGGTATGAATTTGGAGTGAGATTTGTGTCTCTACTGATCAGATCAATCTTATAGTCTTCACTGTTCTATGAAATCCTGCATCTTTCCTTACAAATATGTGTGTTTGTGTTTATCTGAGGATTCTCATATGGTAGATCTGTAAATAAATTGCTATTAGCAGCAAAAATAAACAGATAGGATTGGGATATCAATTTGGTTCATTCTAGCTTAGAGTTTAAATGGGGTCGTCCTATACTCTTAAAATCTCTATTTGTGGGATCCTATGTTGAACGGAACATTTTTTTTATAAGGATGTGGAAATCTCCCCGTAGTTTTAAAAACTGAGGGGAAGCTTGATAGAGAGTCAGACAATATCTGCTAGCGGTGAGATCCCATATTGAACGGAACATTTTTATATAAGGATGTGGAAACCTCCCCATAGTTTTAAAAACTGAAGGGAAGCCTGATAGAGAAAGCTTAAAGACGACAGTACCGGCCAGTGGTGAGCTTGTGTTCTTACACTATTGCTTTATTTGATAAGCGTTTTTTCCTTTTGTTCTATTTTAAATGGAACATTCTCTCCGCAATGGTGTACCAAAAGTCAAAAGGTGATTTGTTTTCGCTGATTTCTATGTCTAACCATTGTCTAACCATTGAAAGTATCAATGTTTTAAGTATTATAAATATTTATAAATGAAATGTCCCGGAAACTTATATTAAATTCTTTTTTTTTTTTTACGAACCAAACCCAAATTTGTTCTTCTTGATTTATTAAATATTCCTAAAACATTAATTTTTCCGTCCGTTTAATACAAGTATTCATGAGTCGGGTTGGGTTGAGGCAATTTTTAGATCCAACCCGATTATTCAAATTATCAAAATTTTAAATCAAAACAAGTAAAAAGGCGAGAATATTTACTTTCATAATCTCATCGTTTCGTTTTTTATTCGCAATAACTCGGGATTTAATCCTATAGAGATGATAAATGTTTCGCTTGAAAATTCAATGGGCTGCATTGCATCTCGATGATATCGAATCGTATTACAATATCATGAATAACGATATCGGAGTTATCAAATTGATTAATCGTCGAGAATTGAATAGTATAACATAGAAAAATCTTTTATCTATGATTGTATCATGAATCCCATTTTGATTCTAATTTTTTGCATTTTTTCTTTTCTATAATCTACCGTCCTCTCTGTTAAATAGAGAATATAACCCAACTCAGCTTAATCATAAATTATTTGGATTGAGCTGGTTTGGGTTGTTCCGATTATTTATTCAAAATTTTTATTTTAATAAAAAGTAAAACGTTCGTTCGTAAAATATTTATTTAATTATTTATTAAATCAATCTAGTTTTAGACAAACCCATGAACCAACTGAATTTTCATTTATTTGAATCCAACCTAATCCAAATAAGTTCATAATCAAACTTAAAACAGTGCAGGCATACTCAAACTTAAAACAGTATAGGTTGGGCTAGATTGATCGATTTTTTTTCTTCAGATTATCAGATTGTTTGAATACCTCTAAAGCTTAAAAAGTCAAAGTTAGACGGTTTCAAAGTCAAAACAAAATAGGGTTTTAATGATTGTTTGTGGTAGAAGATTTTATACTTCATGTTTAAAAAAAAATAAAGAAAGTCAATTAGGTTTGGTTTATTGATATATGAATGGTTGTCCATTCCCCAAGTCTTTGCTTTTCATCTTTATTGCTTTTGAGTCGGAAGGAAGAACACAATGGATATGCGACTTCTTGAAGTTTATCCCAACGAATTGAAGTTTACTTGTAAGTCTTTACACAAACCCAAATAGATCAAATTCTTTTCTTGTTTGTTTATCGTAAGCTATGCGTTTCTCGATCGATTGTTTTTTCTTTTTCCGATTGATTGTTTCTTCCTTTGCTCTTCAATTGTTGGATGATGATCAAATTCAACTTCTAATTATGAGTACCTGTTGTTAACTTTCGACTTCTTCGATCTCACCGACCTTAAGAGATAGAGTAGATATCAATTTTCGCTAAATTAAACTGAACTCGAGGGAAGAAGAGGTGTAGTTTCTAAGAAAAAGATTAAGTTTTTCATTTCAAGTATTGTACCTGGTGTGTTGATCTCTTATTGACTAGTCTACAAAAGAGTTTTAGGCGAAGTTGGTATAGATTGTCTGATCTCTTAAAATTCTTAGTATGCTCTGTGATTGTAACTTTGCCTAATCTTCCATGTCAAAACGAATTATTAAGATTATTAGTGAATGAGTTTCTTTGTGTTGTAAGTAGACCGTGAAACATGTTTGGTATTACTGAGGTACTGCCAACACGATAGGTGATCTTTTAAGTCGTTGGAGGAATCAAGAAACTCAACAACAACAACTATAACACGTGGACAACATGTTTGATGTCCTATCTACAACAAGACCTTTTGGAAACGTTGACTGAAGCGAAATTACGCTGTTAGAGGAGGATTCTAATGGCACCTTGTGCAAATAGAGAATCAAAGCAAATAAAACAATGTTTGCCTTGAAGACCACAATTGAAGAAGAGATGTTGGAGCACATTCGAGATAACAAGAGACCGAAAGAAGCTTGAGACACGTTTGTTATACTTTTCTCAAAGAAAAACAATACGAGGTTACAACTTTTAGAGAACGAGTTGTTATCAATCTCACAACACGACATGAAGATTACTTAGTACTTCCATAGAGTCAAGTCGATCTATTAGGAGATTACTGAATTGGATTTGAGGCCCATCATTGGAGAAGTTCGAATGAAGGGGATCATTATCCACAGAATGCAACTAGAATATAAAAACTTAGTTATTGGTATACAAGGATGACCCACTCAACTATCAAGCTAGACAAGAAACGATGACTAAGCAAATAGGAGACATCATGTTGAAGGGTGAATAAGAAGCGTTCTACACAAGTGAAAGTCGAAGCAACAATAAACTGTCCACCAAAGGTGGATACAAAAAACTTGAGAAAGGAAAAAGTGATAAGAAAACCGCACAACTTGGGAAGCTGAAAAGAAAGACAACAAGAATTCTAAAGGGAAGAAATTTGAAAGCATTTGTTATAATTGCGGAAAGGAGGGCCACAAGTCCAAAGATTGCTAGTTTAAGACAAAGTCCTTCGAAAGCAATGCAGTAACCTTAAAAAAAGAGATAGAGGATGAGTGGGATGCATAGGTACTATGTGCCTTAGAAGAAGATGAGCTTAGCTCATGGCGATAATGAGATAACATACCTATTATGAGAATGATTGGGTTATTGATTCAGGATGCTAAAACCACCTGACTGGCGATTAGAGTGGTGCAGCAGAAGCATACTGGTCTTCAGAAAAGAAAGTCTTACTCGACTTGAATGATATTGAAGAAATTTAGTCAAGTGTTGCTGCGTCTGAAGATCCCAGTGACACTGATGTTGGTGAGCAAGGAGTAACTCAACCAAGCGAACCTAGTGAAAAGAAAATGACAACTCAACAACTTAGATGGTTAGAAACGAGCCGAAAACCAAATCCAAAATATGCCAACACAACTATTATAGAAAACAGAGTTAAAAGAGTAGGAGGTGCATGAAGAACCCGGCTTGGTAGAAGATGATAGAGGAAGAGATTATAGCCTTGAAACAAAATTAAACTTGGGAACTAATGTCAAGACTAGGAGATGTCAAACCCATATCTTGCAAGTGACCTTACAAAATAAAGCGTCTCCCAGGTGGATTAATCGAGAGATACAAGGCTCAAATTGTAGCTCAACGGTTCTCTTAACAATATGAACTCAACTATGATGAAACGTTTAGTCCAGTTGATAAGGCAACCCTAATTTTCAGCCCAACGATTTAAGTTTTTGTTGAAGCAAGAACCCTTGAATCCAAGAAATTAACACCTCCTCATACAAAATTTGGATCAACCAAGAGATAAGATAAAATTAGATTACTTGATCAAAGATCTAGGAGCAAGATTTGGAACCTTGTTCTAAATTGAGTCACTCCACTATTGAACTTGATCAAGGTTTGATTGAATGACTGACAAGCAAGATTTGGAACCTTGTTCTAAATTGAGTCACTCCACCGTTGAACTTGATCAAGGTTTGATTGAATGACTGAGGAGCAAGATTTGGAACCTTGTTCTAAATTGAGTCACTCCACCATTGAACTTGATCAAAGTTTGATTGAAGTTCAATAGTTTGATTGAATAACTGAGATGCAATCTACCACAAGAATAGGGTAAAAAAAGTCTCCTTCGAGATCTCTATTTCATTCATCCAAAATCTTTCTTTTATATAATAATTTGTGCGTATTTATAGTCTCCCACAAAATAAACTTTGAATTCTTCGTATGCCTGTTAAAGAAATTAGTGGCCATAATTTAATCTCACCCTTTTGAATCTACACAAACGAAGAAGTCAATTGACTAACTTTCCACCATTTTTCCATCTTATCTTTAGGTCACATGTCCACCAACTTCCGCCTTGGTTTGTCATCGAACCACATTTTACTAGGAGAGGTACCACTCTGATACCATTTGTAATGCTTCATGCTTAGAATTCAGTTTAGAATTTGAAATATGGATTCAAAACCTGATGACTCCGATATTCTCTTGCATCTCTTGTGACATGATCATGTACTTCTCACTTCTAAGAGTGGAGACTATCTCTACAGACCAACACGAGTCCTTCAACATACGTTGTCTTCACTCTCATGCTTCTTAGGAAAAATTTTAGGATGTCACCAGAACATAAGATTGCTCAAAGAAAAACACATTTAAAATTTAAGTTTTTTAGTCATCCTATCCTTAAAGATCCCTATTATTAGGATATGGTCTCCATTCATTCATGTATCTTTCTACTTGGATGTCATATATATATAGACGAGGCTGAAGGAAGGAGAATGAGGCTTGATTGTTTTTAGTTAGTTAAAGGGCCACTCGGGTTTATTACTAGAATGTGTGGGGGTCGAGGTAATGGGAGGGTGAGAGATACCTAGATGAGGGACAAGAGTTTAGTGGTTATGATTTTGTTTTAGTTACTTAAACTATAATGTATTTATGAGTTTTATTAGTCTCAAGATCACAAAATTATTGAGGTTACGATTTGAATCTTAATAATACGTAAACTGTAATGTCTCAACGATATACTTGTATAGAAAAACTTTACAATGTTGATATGAACAATATACTCTAAGAACGTGTCAAGTGATACCCATAGCATCAAAAT